AAAAAACAAGCAAACAATTCTCAATGCAACCAGTCTGAGTGGAGAACCACCAAATAACAATACTTCATTATATTAATATAAACTGTATGTGCTCTGACCTGTTGAGAGTTTATAGAAATGGATCTCATTGCATCGTTGCCGACTAGAAGCTATTCCTTTAGCCTCACTGTACTGGGCACCAGGTTGTTTGGGTGTATTATCAAAAGATGGTGCCCATCCTCCAATTACAACAAGATAGTCCTCACCGTTCACTTTTATTGCTATCATGCCACAGTGGTGCTTCATCATAGGACCATGATGAGATGTAGTAGGAGAGAGTTCCTTCCAATTGAAGGTATCAACATTAAAACTGTATAAAATATTATATAATATTTATCAGTAACTATCATGTTTACCTGTATAAACTATTATGATAACAGTCATCATGATTACAATGGCCTCCGAAATAAAATATTTCCCTTCCAATGGTAGCAGCTGCATAGCCCCTAACACCCAGTGGAGGGTTACCAGTGGTGGGTTTCTGCTCCCACCTACCAGTCCTTAGGTGACACACCTCCATCACAGAACACATTGATTTCTTCTCTTCATTATTATGTACCTCAGGGAGACCAGGCTGGGCCCCACCCCACATGTACAGGTAGTCTCCTACCCGTACAGTGGAGTGATTCTCCCTCTTCACTGGTTGATAGTCTATAAATAACAAGAGGTAACAGTAACTGAATGATACACTAATAGTAACAACACACGAGTCATAATCAAGTATAAACAAAATACTGACCTGCTGCTTTGGCTGCCATTTTAATTGGAGGTAACGGCCTTCTATGACGTCAGATAATGAATGTGTGGCATCAAGAGTAGATAATACTTAGAAGAGAGTGTCCTACTGGCTATAGGGTCTGCTTCATCACCGCGTAGAATTGAAGAGTCACATTCAGGTTATTTTCAGTATTCTTGAGTAGTTATTCAAAAATAACTAGCAGTAACTACTAGGTGAATGTAAACATTGAGGGGGCGAGCCATCAATTCACATTGTTTGATAAGTAGATTAAAATTATAATAAATCCAGCTCTTAGCCTGCATGCATTATGCATATTCAGACCCCGGCCTCATGGCCGGGGTCTGAACAGAGCAAACACACCAGTTAACACAACCAAAATAACCCAGTAAAAGAGACAAGGATGAACTATCCTGTCACTTTGAAAAAAAGTACCAAGCTAAACTTTTAATCAAACTTCCATCAATTAACATCTATTTGAAATAAAACTACTGAAATAAAATCAATCCAGCTCTTAACGTGCATGCATATTCAGACCCCATCCTGTGGTCTGAACAGAGCAAACCCACTATTTAACACCACTGACCAAAATGACCTAGTAAAAGTGACAAGGATGAACTGTCCTAATACTTTGAGAAAATGTGACAACTTCTAATCAAGCTTCTCTCACAATTTTAATTCTTTTAATGAGAGGACTCAGTAATCTACAGGAGTCTTAAATCAAACTGCTTTTAAGTTCTTCAGCCTTTAGAGATGCTTTAGACAGCCCCTCTCTCTTATCTAACTGTTAGAAACTCAATCTGAGTTTGTCACGTTAAAATTTTCGCCATGGTCCAAATTTATCAATAATAGTATACTAATTTAAGTTTCGTATTCTTCCGTTCATAAACAAGACGTAACGCAAATAGACCAGAGGTAGGACACGGTTGACCTTTGATTAATAATTGCAAAGTTCAAT